CCGATAAGTATAACTGACATCTTGTCTATTGTGTGTTATTTAAAAAACATTTGACTGTTGTTTTAACATTTCCGACTGCAATGCTCTGTGGGTAAATCGACAGCCGCTATCTTTTTTATTACGGCGGATTAGATTACAAGCTTGAGATTTCTATATCAGGCGATAGTTACAGTACTATCACATCATAGAAATCGAGAGTGAATAATCTTTTTTTTTTGTTAAAAAAAACAGTAAGAAAACAACATTTCAAAACGTTTTTACTATTTTACTTGTGATAAACTGGCAAAAAAATATGACGAAGAGATGGGTTTTCACTACTCACTATCTATCAACAATGCAGCATTTGCATTAGGACCCAACTAACTTTTTACTAAATATATATAGAATACAGTTTTTTTTATAGTGCTGGATAACGGATTCATCACTGGGGAGAACCAGATTTAATTTTTTGCACATGAATAATAGACCTTTTCAAGCTTGTAGAATAAATTATTTATGATATTTCAGGTACTGTTTAAGCTAGAAACAAATGGGACAGGTGACTTTGTGGAGCTGGAAAAAGTCTAGAAACATTTAAACCTAAATGCAGATAAGTTCACTGACATGTGCATTGCTGCTGGCTGTGACTACCTTGATAATATTCGAGGCATTGGAATTAACAAGGCCAAGAAAATTGTTTCTGAGAACGAAACATATCTAAATGTATTGCAGACCTTGAAGTTTGCTCCAGCTGCCTACAGCAAATGCTTTGAACAAGCTCGGATGGTTTTCCATTTTCAAACAGTCATTGATCCAAGCATATGTGAGACTGTCCCATTAACTAATGGTGACACTATTGTAGCATAAAATATGAATTTATTCTCATGAACTTCTGTTTTTCTGGTAGAGTCTTTATCCTTAACAACAGTATTTAGCTTATTATCTAAGCCATTTGTCTTAGACTTGGCTGCTGGAAATATCAATCCCATGTTTACAGATATTGTAATAATTGCTTTCGAAGACGTTCTGACATTGTATTTTGAAAAGAAGATATGAAGTTTTGAACTGTATTTCCCAAGGATACCTTAGCTGCTTTCTGGGGGTGAACAGCTAAAAATTGGTGATAAACATTAATTTATTTCACTGGTGGTCTGCTTTGCTGGGGTTGAATTGGAAACAAAGTCTTTGGAATTGGTTGCACTGGTAACATAATCAATATTATAGAATTCCTCTGCATCAGACAATGTTGCAAACTTCTTAACCAAAAATTTTGTGACTTTAGTCCTACATGATGAGCCTACAAAAAAATTTAATTCATTGTTACCAACTTCGTATTTACTAATTTAGGTATGAAAATATTAGGTATGTAAAGTCAGTTGAAAATGACTGTAAAGATACCAAACAATTATACTGTTGCATTTATTTTATGGAACCTATTGAAGATTCCATAGTTGTTATAAACTGCACATTGGGCACCTGTTGGCTGTTGCCAGAAGGGCTATTGTTGTGCTTTTTTCCAACTGCTCCAGCCGACATTTATGTCTGGCATTCGGTCGTTCCAGAAAAGATCCTAACTCCCCCCAAGGAGGAAATTTCTGCCGTCCGGAGGGGGAGGGGAGGAAATATTGTTTCTGATAATAGTAAATGTATTATGACATCTGAAGGGGGTAGGGAGTTAACTTCCTATTTCCTCCGTGGGGGAGGTATGGATGTTTTCTGGAATGACCCATTAATGTGTTAATGATTTTTTCTGGAAATTGCAAACTCCAAAAATCTTCAACATCAAATTCTTTTGAACAAAATACACCAAAAGTGAAAATCTTTTCCACTGTTAACTGTACAGAAACCTGCAATATACCATCTACACAGCTAATGCAAATACAAACTACAACTGTTACAATAGATTTTAGAAATTAATATATGCAACTGGAGATTGAAATAACCAACCTGTTCGAGAAGTACTACACATTTTATTGACAGATACCGCACATTCATTCCAAAATTTCATGTTTTTTGTTTTTGGCCATTTATCAGTGTATGCATCATCCCAATACAAGCATATGTGCTGAACCAATGCAGCCAATTCTGCAGTCACCCAAACAGTACCATTGACAAATTTTTGGCCATCTCCCTGAATCATGTTATTATCAAACAATGACTTTTTCACTGTGTTGCCTTTCCCGTTTCTCTTTCTCTTTGTCTTTTTTTTTCCCAGGCGTATTCCCCTCTGGAATGCATGACCGCTTTCCCAACATGGCAGTAGAACTTGACAGATCTTCGCAGAAAGACCTAAAATCAGCACAGAAAATAGCATGAAATGAATGTCCCCAAAAGGTACAAATTCAAGGGGCGCTAGAGGGCGCGATCATATAAAGGACACGAATAATTATCGTAGATCACATAAAGTAGAAACTCGAACCTGGTTCATGCACAGTTAACCTGCTATATGCAAATATAAAGACACCTTTGAAATCGGGCAAAATAAAAGGGTTTGAAATGACATGATATTTTTGATAGAATTCCAAACGTTGTCGATTTAAATAGTACGAAGAGATAACGTTCTGATGTGTAGCTTTCTTTTTAGTCAGAATTGCAAAGTAAAAACTCTGAATAGAAATAGAAAATCAATTCAAAACTTACCTGTCTTTCTCTTCCGAATCCGCCATCTTGAAGAAAACCAAAAAATAATGCATTGCGGTCGTAGTGCGACCACCGCCTGTTCAAACACTTTAAACAAATCATTCATAGACTTGATTTTTTTGCCTTGTATGATTTTCTTTTCCACTTATTCTCACAAAATGCATCAAAGGAATCTTTATATACATGGTGTATAAAAAAAAACGGAGTCGTCCTAAATATCCTTATTTCTATCGTAAAATAAACTACCATAGTTTCGCTTAGTGCTCAATTTAAAGCTTGTTTTTTCATCTTTCGAATGAAGGGTTTTTTGAAAATTTTGAACTAAGGCTAATCGCAATAAAAAGAATTTAGTATACAAGCGCTCGTTTTTAGATGCTTCCAAATATTAATCCTCGAAGTCCCTTGGGACTTAATTAAAGGTAGTTTGCTAAAATTCAGAGCGTTGTTGTTCAAAACTTTATAGAATCGCCATTCATAATGCCAAAGCTAACAATTCCGGAAAGAACATTCATTGTTGAAAAGTAGTTCGAAACAAAAAGCCTTGTTGCAGTGTTAAGACAATTTCAAATAGCTTTTCCAGGAGGTAATCGTCATCGAGCGTTTGGGGTAATGTCAACAAATACCGGCTATACATGCATATTTGAATGGAAGAACCACCCCAAAAAGTTTAAATCGAAATAAAGGAAACTCGGGAAGAAGAATAGTTGTCTTGGATATGAGACAAAGAACGAACTTGTGTGAACTTAGAGGTGGAGGCCACGTTGAGTAAATGTGTACTTCCAACTTATTTTTTTGGAACGTTTAAATAAATTGTGAATTCAACACATCTACGTTTTTTAATTTTCCAATTGCACTTACTTAAATTGACACAGCTCGCCAGCAAATAACTCCAAAATTTTATAAAATAAAGTATATAAAATAGCCGAAAGATCGCGATTTCGAAAGAATACAAGTATAAACGTCTAACTTTCATATTCGCTTTGAAATTCACACTTCATGTGAGGACTCCGTTTTTTTTATACACCCTGTAGTTCCCTGCTACAACCATCTGTCTTACTGTTATAAAATACAGGAAATAAACATCAATATTTAAACACTGTTTTTCCTGGCTACGACACCTTTGGGATAAACAAATATATTTGGCAGCTGATTCACTAACTTCGCTTTCGATATCGCTCTCTGATGCAGTGATGCTGGTCATGTATTTCGTTCTTGGGATTCCATTCAGACTTCTCCAACTTTGATACGTTCGCCACTTTACGATAACATTCCAAATGGAAATAATAGCCATTGGCAAAACTTTCTTTCTCGCCTTCATTCGAGATTTGAGTAAACTGATTTTCATAATTTTCGGATATTATTTTGTAGAGTGTCCCTATATGTCGTGTGTCGTGTGTCGTGGGTTAAAAGTCGTGTGTCGTGGGTAAAGTCGTGGGTCATAATATGTGCTAAAAGCGCATTTTTCACGAAAATATTATTTATTTTTTTTATTTTTTTTTCGTATTTTTTCCGTTTATACGCTAGATAAATACAGGAATAGTTAACGCAACAAATCTCTAGTAATAAAATAAAATACACGCTGTTTCGTGCTGTTATCTATAGTATAACAAGTAAATGTATAGCCTATAGATGTATTGTTTGATGATAAAACGTCTTAAGTTATAGGATATAGGTTTATTATAGCTTTGGAAGTGTTATAGTGCCTATCACGAATGTCGCGAATAATTATGTCGATTGCATACGATACAAACATATTGAACTATAAATTATATTACTTACGCTGTAAGTGGCGAGTGTCCCAAATTTTGCTATTTTATTTCCTAGTGTATGTTCGTGGCCCTTAAAGATAGACAAACATTTCCCGTGTATGTGGCGTTCGGACATATTCCATATTTTGCTACGATTTGGGATTTCGCGATTGAAAACCGAAATGATTTGTGCGATGTCGGGCTATTTGCCAACCGAGCGCCTGTTAGTGACAGAATATGATATCTCTTTTCAGCCGTAATACATAATGCGCGCATGTAATCATATAGATATATATCGTTTAATTTAGCTTCAAAAACTTGATAAAATCAAAATTGCTTTATTTTGTTAAATGCAAAATGCGCAGTCTGTTGCGTACAATTATCAAAGAAAAAAAGAAGTTACATGATTAATACCGAGGCGGCTTTGCATGTGCTCTGGCAACGATCACAGGATAGCGCTCCGGAACCAACACGTCATCATCTCATCATCTATTGTTTGAATTGCATTCAACGCGACCAGAATTCAACGTATAAAACAGGCCTCAGATAACTTAGAAGTATTGTTCTAGTTCATAGCGGACCTGTTTTAATTAGGCCTGTTTTATACGTGGAATTTCGGTCGCGTCGAATGTAATTCAAACAATAGATAATGAAGCTTAATGAGGTTTATTATCTCGTTTATCTATTGTCTTAATTGCACACGACGCAACCAATTTTGGACACACGAAAGAAGCATAGAACAGGACAAAGGAAACTAAATTTCTATGCTTCATTAATGACGACTTGCGCTTTAGAAAAATTTTTAATCTGGGAATAACAAAGGAAAATATAGCCCTGCGAAGTTGGCAAATTTGTATACATATTTCTATTACGTGCGGAAATTGGTAACTAATTTAGTTGCCAATTCACGCACGTAATACAAAAGTATACAAATTTGCCAACTTTGAAGGGCTATATTTTCCGTATTTTACAACATTTCGCAACCAAGCTTTGTAAGATTACTAATTCCAAGACGCTCTTTCTAGCTGTGTTGATACTGAGATTTCGTTGTTCTTACTTATATTAAAATTTAGTCTAAAGCGCAAGTCGTCCATTAGATATTTGAATTTGAATATTTGAATATTTTTTTATTTGCCCATATAAAGCTACCCTGGATTCCAGAGCCTTCGACAGTAAATAATAAATTGAAATGTCGCGAAGGCTCTGGTTCAACGGGACGATTCTTTGATTAAACCGCGCCAATCACAAAACAGAATTAGTGGTTTTAGTACAGATTCTGTACTAAAACCACTAATTCTGTTTTGTGATTGGCGCGGCTTAATCAAAGAATCGCCCCGTTGAACCAGAGCCTTCGCGACATTTCAATTTATTATTTACTGTCGAAGGCTCTGGAATCCAGGGTAATATAAAGCTAAATATATTTACAATCTATATTTTTACAAACATTAGGGGCTAGGAACCTTTATGAAACCCTATCAGGCTTTTATTCAAAGGCCCCTAGTTTAACAATATTAATTATTATATAAAAATAGTTAAAGCTTGTTCAATCTTGTCAAAGACAAAGTAAGAGTATTTACAAATATAGCGATTTGAATATAAATATACACAAGAGTTTATTATGTGAGATTACAAATGAAAGCCGTTAGGTATGTTCCAAGAAAAGGCTTTTCAACTTTTTCTTAAAAGTAGAATAAAACATAGTATTGCTAGTTCCTTTATCAAGAGAGTTCCATATTTTAACTCCCTTGTTAACAATTGTATGTTTTGCATAATTAGTTCTACTATAATTGACATGCAATTTGTTAGAATTCCGAGTATTGTAATGATGCACTTCATTGTTTTGTATGAAGTAGTCATTAACAAATTCAGGTAGATTTTGTAAATGTTTAAAACGGTACATAAATAAACAACTTAAATAGTCATTAATCTTAAAGATATTCAAGATTTTCAATTTTTGAAACAATGGTTCAGTGTGTTCAAGATAAGATTTAAAGTTCATCAATCTGATAATTTTTTTCTGTAAATTCAGTATTTTTAGCAGCCTTGTTGGGTACGTGTTACCCCATATTAAATTCCCATCAGTAAGATATGGATAAACTAATGCATAATAAAGTACATTTAATGTATTTTTGTTTGTATAATGTCGTATTTTTGCAATCAACGCCGATGCTTTAATAATATTTTTGACAACTGAGTTTATATGGTTTTTCCATGTTAGTTCTTGATCTATTATTACACCTAGAAATTTGACAGCAGTAGCCTGATGTATAATGTTATTGTTAAGTTGAATATTAGTATCAGTGTCACATTTTTTATTTTTTGATTTAAAAATGACGTACTTAGTTTTTTTAGTATTTATTGATAATTTATTGGCGTTAACTTTTAGCCATTTAGTCACTTCATTCATTTCTTTTTGCATAACATGCATTAAAGATTTGAGGCATTTGTCAGAGTAAAACGCATTTGTGTCATCGGCATACATAACAAAAGAAATTATTTCACTACAGTTCTCAATGTCGTACGTTAATATATAACAGAAAAAGTAGAGGCCCAAGAATCGAGCCTTGCGGAACTCCTGAAGATATTGTCATCTTACTTGACTTATGATCACGAAACTTAAGAATTTGCGTTCTTTCATGTAAGTAGTTTTCAAACCATTTTAAACAATTTCCTCTTATACCATAGTGTTCTAGTTTTTTAGAAGAATTTTATGGTTAACTGTGTCAAAAGCCTTAGATAGATCAAGGAAAATACCGATTGTGTATTTTCCTTCATCTATGGCCTTTGAGATTTTGTCAGTCAATTCAATAATAGCATGTTCAGTGGAGCGATTTTTCCTGAAACCATACTGGTGTTTAGATAAAATGTTTTGTTTTTCAATATATGAAATCAGTCTTTTGTACATTACTTTTTCAAGCAATTTCGAAAAACAATATTAATAAAATAGGGCGATTATTGTGTGATACAACTTTAAAGACCGTTTTCCACTAGGCGGAATTTTCCACGCGGAGCGGAATTTTTCTTTGTCTTGTGATTCCTCGGGTGGAACTGATTAGAAAAGACAAAGAGAAATTTCGCTCCTCGAGGAAAATTCTGCCTAGTGAGAACGGCCTTTATGATGGGCTAAGAATTATTGATAGGCTAATGATAGCACTGAAAATATTACACAAGTAAAATATCATTCTAAGTGACTGCTTTGAACGACAATGAATACAAAGAATGTTCGTTTGTGCGAGTTATATTAATGTTGTATGTATACAGTATATAAAACTAGTTAAGGCCCGTTTTATACGTCGAATTTCGAAGAATACGTTGGCTGAAGTATCGATGTACTATCCAGTGAGACGCAGTTTATCCA